CACTAAGTCCATTCAGGAATGAAACTGGGAGCTGTATCCTGGTGCCCTGATAATTCAGGTAACTGCTTCCTTGACACTGCTTAGCATCTGGCTTAAAGTGGACTTTGCTATAGAAAATGTGAAAGTACATAGACCTATGTTACTGGAAAAACCACTGCTAAACCTCTTGACAAACATTTAGGGGGATGGGCAATAAAGCAGCAGGAGTGGAAGATTTTTTAAGTAGTCTGAGACTTGGTGTAGAGTCTTTTGTAAGTGACCTCCTTTTTTTTTTATGTGCAGCTCAGTGCAAAGCTCCTTTCCCTGGCTCTTTTATTAGCATAATTATCTTGTCTGGGGTTCTGTAAGTTGAAGTTAATTGACAATACTGGTAGGCAAAGCTGTTGCCTCAACAGGGAGTGTGTATAGGGAGAAATCCAAATCACACTCAACTCATAGGGAGGATATCTCTGTTAGAGTACAACCAAGAAGTTGCAGCAGGAAAATGCAGGTAGAGTGTTAATCTATCTTCCCCACCCCCTGTATAGAGATTTCAGCCAGTTTCTAGCCAGTTGTTTCTTTTAATCTATCCACTGGGTGGAAGGATTTTTGTCAAGGTGGAAGCCAGACCCATGAAGAGAAACCTATCACTGATTTTTCAAGTGGCTTCTTTTGTTTTATTAAATCTTGTGCTGAGTTAAATACAGCAGCCCTTGGTACAAGGGGAGGTAATTGTTCTACAAAGCTGATCTGCAGGGAACTTAGTGGAGATGGTTTTTAATAAAAAGCATCTGGAAGGATTCCATGATTTGATTCAAAGGCCACCCCACTGAGCAAGGCTCACGCTAAAACAGGAGGGTGTGGATTAAGCCCTGCACTGCCAGGTGTGGCCATGAACGTGTTGTCCAGTGACAGCAATTCTCTGGCACCAGAGCACTTCAGTATTTCAAGATGGGTACCTGCCCCAGCAAGTCTGTCCCAGCTCCTGCTGGGCATACTTTCTGGAATGCTGTGAGGGGCTTCCCTACAGGCAGAGCTGCCCTTGTAGGTGCTCCTGGTTCGTCCACCTGTCCAAAGCAAGACGAGACACACCTGTCAATGCCTTGCTGTTCTTTATGTTCAGGAGGTGCTTACGGGACCTGCCAGCAGCACTCTGGGGACACATCAGGGCTGTTTGCAGGGCTGAGCAACACGGCTCTGCTGGAAAACTACCGGAACCAGGAAAGACTGTATTGCCTAGGTGGAGATGGGAAGGTGACAGAAGTTCCCTGAGCAGTCTTTTGTGGAGGTAATGGCTCGAGAAGCTTCTCCAGCCCTTGTTTCTAAGTAAATGCTCTGGTTTGATGCCAGTTTAGGTGCCACAGCAGTGCTGATCCTGTTCCTCATCTGGTGTGACAGGCATGAGCTCTGTAACTGGCTTGCTGCGATCAGGGGAGGCACGTGTTCGTTGTAGGAGCTCTCTCGGGAGAGAGACTGGAGCCTGGATCTGGGAGTATTGTGGAGCTTGGCAGACAGCTGTTTCTCCCACGTTGGTGCAGTGCCTCATGTTCCATTCCCAGCATGTTTCTGCTAGTGAGGTGACACCACCTGCTGCCAGCCTGCAAAGCTGCTTCTTGTCTCGCCTGGGCTGCAGCCATCTGCCAAGAGCCTGTGCCAAGGGTGTGCTAAAGCTCAGGCAGGGAGATTCCAACAGGGCACCGTGGGCTCAGTTTGGTCATAAATGTATTCCCACATCTGGGTGGCAAGGTTGCACACGGGGTATGTGTTTACATAGATGTGCTGAGTGCCTTCATGAAATCCTGACTGGATTTAGCCATTGGGAGGTAAAGGAACAAGTACTCCTCTGCTCTGCACCTGGTCTAGTATTTTGTAGAAGATCATAAGATCAGTAGCAAATAGGAGATGACTTGGTCTCCAAAACCCAGAGACACAAAATAATGCCAACCAGGTGAGAAAGTGGGAAGGTGTGGAAGACTTCGTGAGTTTTTATTGCAGCTCTGACAGATTAAAAAAAAAAAAAGGCTCACATGACTTCTCCCACCACAGTGACAGGTATTTCCCTTCTGTGATAGCCTGGTAGATTCTGGGGGGTTCTAGAACAAATGACTGGAAAGGGCTGCTTACCAGCCTACATCCTTAACTGCCAAAGATAATGATCAGAGTAGCAGCAACTGAAATAACAGCGAGGCATGAGATCAGAAACAGACACTGATGCGTGCTATAAAAACAGACAGGCAACAAGGAAGCTCCGAAAAATTATTATTATTTCTGGAGAATTTCTGTGAGCGTAAACACCCAAGCTTGGTCCACCTGTGAGAAGCAAAACCCCACCCACCTCAACAGCTGGGTACAAAGGAGTTGCTGCAGGGACAGGACTGTGGGGTGGTTTTAACTCATCTCCATAGTCTGATTTATGCTGCCTGCAGTCATGCATTGCCATGTGCTTGCCACTTTGTTGTGACTTCTACCTGCAGTTTCAAAATCTCTTTGTAAGGTTTGGCATCTCTTTTTGCTCTGATAATAGATTTATATTTGGCAAAACCAGCCTCTGACAATTTTTAAGCACAGTTTAGCCAGGCCACAGCATGTGGCAAAATAACTACCAGCGACTGCCTGAAGAAACTCGTTAAAATAAGCAGCTGTTTATTCTGATGCGTAATTAGAAAGCAGTTAGAGTGTTGCAATTTTACACTTACTTAAACGTTTAAGAGCTTCGCGAGGTAAAAGACAGTAAACAGGGGAAATGTGATAGTCTTGTGCTCATTTAGAGCTTGCCTTCAGGTACCTCCTTACAGCTTGTCAGCACTGGGGCTGTGTGGAGCTCAGAAGTGGGACTGCCTGAGAGGACAAACAAGCTGAACCACAGGACAGTAACGCTTGTGGGGCATTTCTGTCTGGTACTGGAACAACAGCTGCTGTTCTAAACATCAGTTGCTGCTGTCATTAGCCTGTGATCCCTCACTTTTTGGATTTTTGACCTAAATGCTGATGTGTAAAGGTGAACATATTTGCTTTAAAAAAAGAACTGTAAAGTTCTTGGGTTTGGGGGGTGAGTGTTGAGTAGTAGATGTTTGTAATTATTTCAGTGGAATTAATAACAATGAAAAATGGTGCTCTGAGGAGGGAACCTGCTCAGACTCACCTATTGAGGCTGAGGTTTTTTTCTTTTTTTTTTTCCTAATTTACTAAAGGACTAAATTTTTAGGAAGCTTGTTAGAGTTAATTGCCTGTTAGAAACGTAAGGTTGGTGGCCACTCTTATGGTTTGACTGGCAGTGCTTTAAACAGATCCTATCAAAATGAAGCAGTGCTTTCATTATAGCTGCTGCTTTTAGGTTTTAATGAAGCTTTGTTTCCTAAGTTCATTAAGATACCAACTGCAATTTATTTTCTAAGGAAGTCAGGTCCAGGGATATTTTAGGTTATCCTACAAAAACTCTCATTTAGACAACAGAAATGAAAACAACTATGTGCAGAAGTGTTTGCCCTAGGTCACCTGAATTTAGCTTTGTTATCTTACAGAGGTAATTTCCTTAAGAAAGTCTGATTTATAATGGAGACCTTCACTGGTGAATGTATGTAGCTAAAGCTGTGTATATGTACGTATATTTGCAGAATTTCCAAATAAGTCCTGATATGAGGGTACAGCAGTATTAAATGCAGTGATGCCAAACTCGAAGAGGGAAGGAAAGTCAGAAGGTCCCAAAGGATACTTCATCACTGTCTGAAGGGGTCTGCAGCATCTGTCTATGCTTGATGTTCCCTGAGGACTGAGTCACTCTGCCTCTGATCACACCAGTCTCTGAGCCAAGACTAGAAACCAGCAGCATCCTGAGTAGTTAACATTTAACGTGAACACCAAAAGGAGTGAGGTGTAGGAGACAGCAAAGAATTCCTGTCAGTATTTGGAGTTTGTGAGAGCTACCAGATCTTGCTGTTCCCTGATGCTTCAGGTTAGCACCACTTGAGAGAATCCAGGTAGTGAGTGAGCTGTGACCATGACAGCGATAGCACTGGAGTCCTTCTGAAGGGAAGGGGTTTATGCAGTGAAAGTTTTGTAATCACAGGCATCTGTTGGTCAGAGGATATGTTTGGAGCAGTGTGTTCCCAAGCCGTGGGGGTGCCCAGCACAAATCCAGTGGCCCAGGCAGAGATTGGGCAGTATCTGGTCTGTAATGCTCTGTGTTGGCACTGCTGTGTTAGAACTGTGCCACGAGCCAGGCACAGTCTCCTGGTGCCCAAATGCTGCACAGCTGCAGCTGTCAGCAGGAGAGTGGATTTCAGCCTCGAGGTGCCCAGTGGTGAGCGGGCAGGAGGCTGCGGTGTCAGCCCGGCACAGCCCTCGGGACCTTCCCCGGGCCCGTGGCAGGGAAGGGGCAGGTCCCTGCTAACGTGGCCCTGCTTCCAGTTGGGCTCCGGGGCTGAGCCGGGGACAAACATCCAGGTCTCTCGCCACAGGGAACAGCGGAAGGAAGCCCCGTGTGCCCAGCTGGAATTAGAGCAGGTGCACCCTCCAGGACTGACTGGCTCTGATTTCTCTTCCTGATTTCTCTCCAGGCTCCGGAGGGGCACGCAGCCCCCGGCACGGGCCACGCTGGGCTCGTTCGTGCTGTGCTGGATGGGAGGCTGTGCCCGTCAGACCCACGGGTGCCGGGGACCTTCCCGGAGCCGTGCAGGGGACAGGGACAATCCCTGATGGAGGTAAAAGAGCCCCCTTTTCCCTGAGGCTCTGAGCTTCCCATCTCAGCTGCTGCAGTGCCCCGTGGGCAGCTGGGCTGGGCTGGAGGGGTACTCGTGGTGTCTCCGGCCGGGCCGTGCCCGCGGAGCTCCCACCGCCCTTCCCCGGCCCCAGCAGCGCCCGCCGCGCTGAGGGAACGGGGGTCGGGGCCGCGCTGAGGGAACGGGGGGCGGGGCCGCGCCGAGGGGCGGGGCCGGGCTGAGCGGGCGGGGCGGGGCCGCGGGGACAGGCGGGCTGCGATTGGGCGGAGGCGCTCGAGTGCTGATTGGGCAGCGCTGCCGGCCCGCGGTATAGAAGGGCCGGCGGGGCAGGTGCGGGCGGTTGTGTGTGAGGGCTGAGGGTGCGGCCCTGCTGCTGCCCGGGCTGCGGAGGGGAGAGCGCCTTGGCCGCTGGGTTTATGGACCGGGGGAGCCGGGGGGCGTTTAGGGGCGCGTTGTGCTGGACGGCGGGGGCCGCGTAAGCCCGTTACCTGCCGGGTGCCCCCGGGGGAAGCCGTGGCAGGGCTGCGGGGCTGGTGCTCTCTGGGTGTCTCAGGGATTGCCTCGGAATCCCAAAGCCTTTCCCCGTGCAGGGTTACGAGGCAAAGACTGGTCTCAGTTTCTTGGTGCTACATTGATGCTTTTTGCTCCTTTTCTGTGCAGTTGTGCCCTCAGTTGGGGCTCAGCTCAGTTCAGTGCCCAGCGGCTGGTGGAGTGTGGCGAGTTGTGCTTCCTGCCGGGCGGGAGCTGCCTTGGGAAGCTGCTCTGTACCCACGGCTGTGCCGAGCCCGGGAGTTCACACAGGTAAGGGCAGGGCCCGTCCTACCAGTGAGAAGGGGATTTGGCTGTGGGAGGATGGAATAGAGTGTATGCCTGTTAACTCCGAGGACAGCCAACAGCTGGGAGAGACCCCAAGCAGATTTGGTGCCATGAGAGCAGCTTCAAAAGACCTTGAGTGTTGGAGAAACGTGCAGGACAATCGGTTCCCTTTTTTCAAGGAGGCAGTTGGCAAGGATGGGGAGTTACTGTGCTCTGTAGCAAAAATAGTCCCCTTGGGATGTCCAGGGTGAGGAAATGTTGGCCACGTGTGGGCTGGAGCAAAGGTGTGTGGCTGCCTGTGTGTGACACCCGTGGGTGTGCAGGAAGGGGGTTCTGGTGCCATTGGAGCTGCCAGGGAGCCAAAAAGGGCACAGTTGTCTGAAAAAGGTGAAAGCTCTGTTGGCCTCTGTTGACACCTGCACCAAAGGAGATGCAAATTTTCCCCCTCTGGTTGCAGACTTCACAAAGCTCCCAGGAAAGGAAATTTTAAATTCCAACTCACCTTTATGCTAAAGGTTTCCTTGCTCTCTCAGCAGGATGTCGAGTGCCACCGTGTCCCTGAGGTCACCCTTTCTGCTGTTGGGAGAGCACGAGGTGGATGGAGAGGATCCCCAGACATCTGCAGGCACAGGGGACTCGTACAACTGCGATTTTCCTACAACCCTTGTAAGATAGACTTGGAGGGTACCATGGGTAATGTGCCAGCTCTCCTGGTGGAGTTTTTGTCTTCTGCTGTAACTGAACATAAAGAGAAAAACTAAAGTCAGGTCTGTTCTGGAGTGTTACACTTCTGCAAAGCTCCTTCCCTCTGTTTATTTTCTGTTCTGGAAAGCACAGTCTGGGATTCCTGGGCACTTCCTATTAAATGATTCTCTGAAAATAATTTTGTACTGAAAGGGGAAAGGAGCTGTCTGTTTGAGGTCAGATATCCCTAATCAGAGCTCTATGTTTTTCACTCAGTAAGCTCTTAAAATATCTGAGAGTGTGTGGGAATGCCTGGCTTCTAAAACTCACCAACTGAGTCTTAGGGGCTTCTTTGAAGAGCTGAGTTCAGGCAGCAGAATTGGCCCCCAGCAGGGACTCTGTGCCTGCTCTCCCGTGGCTCCAAGGGATCTCCGGGCCTTCATGCCGGCACCGAGATTTTCTCGGGAAGGGCCTCAGATCCCCGGAGCCATCTGGGACACAGGCAAGATCCCCCTGCCTTTAGAAATGAGGCCTTCTTGTGGCTTCCTCCCCGTCCATGTTGGTGGGTTCCCAAGAAGGCCTCTTGAAATGCCTTTTGGGCTGTGCATTGAAGCCTTGGGAGCAAATTTGGCCCCTGGAGGGACAGTGCTGTTGGTGCCCCCCGGGCTGGGGCACCCCGAGGACTCCAGCGCGCACCGAAAGGATTATTCGGGGAGATCCTCGGGGTGCCCGGCCCTGGGGAGCTCAAAGCAAGGTCCCTGCAGTGGATTCAGGCATTGCTGAGAGTATCCCAGGGGTACCTGTCCCTGCTAGACATGGAGCTCTCTCATGGGCTGTAATTGGGTGATAAAAGTGGTGCTCCAAGTGCCAAAGAAGGGTGGGATTGGGATTAAGGAATGAGCAGTGATGGTGCAATTGGCTGTTTTTCTCTGGAGTGTAATGGTAAGAGCTGCAGGAGTGCAAGGTGTGTGTTCCAGTCCCCAGCATTTGGTTTGCACATGTCCTGCTCAGGCACAGGTCCAACTTCCTTGGTCCTTAACCCAAGAGAGGGAGAATTAAGGACTGGCAATTGGTGTGACAGGGGTTAAATTGGGAAAACATTGGGTAATTCCTCAGTTTTGCCCAAACCTCTGCTAGGAAGAGATTAAGTGGAAAAGTTGAGGCAGAAATGAAATGGAAAACTGCGGTTATTGACCCTGTAATTGCTGAAACTAAATGTGTCCAAGCAGCAGCTCTTGTTGTGCAGGGAATAACTCCTGTCAGCAGCAAGGTCCCGACTGAAGTGGCAGCTGCAGTTGTTCCTGGTGTGTGGGCCAGTGGAATTCCAAGAAAATGGACAAGGGCAGAACCTGTAAGAATTACCCCTAAGCCAGAGTCTCTCCTGGTAAGGCAAACCCAGTATCCTTTAAAATTAGGAAGCCAAGCTGCATTGGTTCCAGTAACAGCTAAATTTGCTCCTCATGGTTTGATAGTAGAATGTGAATGCAAGGACCTGTAAAGAAAGGAAATGGGAAAGCTGATTGATTCCTGGGAGCAGGGGCTGACAGACAGTGGCACTGGGTGTTTGGTTGTGGTTGGGAATGAGCAGCTTGACCTCCCCAGGTTTGTCTGTGCTGGGGATGGGTTTGGGTCCTGTGTGGCCACAGGTCTGTGCAGCAGCTGGAGGCTGGGCAGGTTTGGGGGCTGTGGTGTGCCAGGCTCCTGAGTTTGTTGTGCCTGTTTCCTTTCAGTGTCCCTGCTTGTCTGTTGGTTGCCCTGCAGGCAGAAGAGCCCAGGCCTGAGCTGGCTGAGTGTTGGTGTGACCCACAGTGGGTGTCCCCTGCCCTCGGGACAGTCTCCAGAGCTCCCTTTGGCATCCCCTGCTGAAGGGTGGGAGCTGCCCAGAGCCAGCAGCATCCAGCTGGAGGATCCCGGAGGATGCAGCTGATGTTGTCTGGGAGGTAAGAGGTGGGGGTGCAGGAGCTGGCAGGGGTGTTTGCAGGCAGAGGGAGGGCAGGAGCAGGAGAATTGCAGCTGCCAGCAGCTGGGTCAGTGCTGGATGGAGTCGGGGCTGGGAAAGGGCCCTGAGTGTCAGGGCAGGGGAGAGCCCAGGGTGGCCCTGGGAGCCCTGGGGCTGTGAACAAGTGCAGTGGGCAAAGGAATGGGCACTGGAGAGCTGGGCAAACAGCTGGAGGAGTTACAAGGGGAACCAGGAGACTGGAATCGAGGAGCAGCAGCTCCGTGTGTGTGTGTGTGTGTGTGTGTGTGTGTGTGTGTGTGTAGAACCAGGTGTACTGCAGCCCTGAGTGAGGTGGGAAATGAAACTCGGGAGGCTGGGAACGAGTCCCCCAAACTGGTTAAAGTGGGATGGACTCTTCCCAAGTGTCTGAAAAGCTTTTCTTTAGTGTTGCTTTATCAGTTGAAAACTGGAGTGATTGTCGAGGTGTTGGCACTTGTTTTCCTGTGTCTTTGGTGAGGTGTTGACTCAGTACCTTTCCTGGAGCTGTTGTTGGATGAAGAGGTGCCCCAATTGACCTGTAAGGTCCTGGTTTTCTTCCCTGCTTCTCCCGCCTGGTCCAGGAGATGGAATTCCAGTGCTACAGTCTAGATGGGTTGTGGTGCTTGCAAAAGGAGCCTTTGTGCCTTCAGGACAAGTTCTGTTGCCACTGGAGCTGTTGGAGAAGTGGAGCATTGGCAGTGAGAGGTATGGAATGATGTTGTTCTGGCACAGATGAAATGAGCAGTGATGGTGCAATTGGCTGTTTGCTCTTGAATGTGATGGTAAGAGCTGCAGGAGTGCAAGGTGTGTGTTCCAGTCCCCAGCATTTGTTTTGCACATGTCCTGCTCAGACACAGGTACAATTTCCTCGGTCCTTAACACAAGAGAGGGAGAATTAAGGACTGGCACTGTTAAGGTGATTGGTGTGACAGGGGTTAAACTGGGAAAACATTGGGGAATTCTTCAGTTTGTCTATTTGCTAAACTTACCCAAAACTCTACTAGGGAGAGATGGACTGGAAAAGTTGAGGCAGAAATGAAATGGAAAACTGGGGATATTGACCCTGTAATTGCTGAAACTAAATGTGTTCAAGCAGCAGCTCTTGTTGTGCAGGGAATAACTCCTGTCAGCAGCAAGGTCCCGACTGAAGTGGCAGCTGCAGTTGTTCCTGTGGTGTGGGCCAGTGGAATTCCAGGAGAGGGGAAGAGGGCAGAAGCTGTAGGTATTACCCCTGATGTGGGATCTCTCCTGGTAAGGCCAAGCCAGTATCCTTTAAAATCAGAATGCCAGACTGGATTGGTTGCAGTAACAGCTAAATTGGCTCCTCCTGGTTTGCTTGTAGAATGTGAATGCAAGAACCCTCCAAGAAAACCAATGGCCAAGATGATTGATTAGTGCAGGACCTGAGAGAACCACCTTGAATGACAACCTCGAGCAGTTTCCAGTCTTGGATTGAAAAGATGGCCTTTGCTGCATCTCCTGGAGCAAGGAAAGCCAAGAAACCTTTGCTTTTGCAGGAGAAAATCTGGAAAGCGAGAAGGAAGAAAAGAAGCCATGTGACTCCTCCTGAGCCCCAGACAGCCCCTGAACTGCCTTCCTGGGAATGGTAGGACAGGGTGGACTCTGGATTGCTCCCTCTGGATGTGTGGTAAGACTGTGATGCCAACTTTCAAGAACAGCCTGTAAGCATTTGCTACCTTGGCTGGATGGTGCAAGGGCAGCCTTTAAGCAGCTAAAGCATTCCCTGAGGAGAGCTCTGGGTCTGCCAGATGTCTCAGAACTGTTGGAAGCATTTTTGGTGGGGAGGGCAAAGAAAGGACAAGGTGTGCAGTGACCCCCCTGACAAGGGACTTGCAGTTCATGGCATCCCTGCAGGTGAACTTTGTGGGCTGTTCCCCCTGTAGAGCAGGTGATAGTCCCAGCTACAGTGATGGGAAAAATGGTTAAAAGAGAGCCCCAAAAGCTGGAAATTATCCTGGAGGCTCTTGGCAAACAGAGTTTCCTGAGTTCCCTATGAAAGAAGGACAGTGATAGCTTTTGAGTGCCAGTAGATCCTTTTAATAGATAGCCTTGAGTGTGTCCTTGTTGCACCAGTAGGCCTTGTGCAACTCCCCATATTCCAGGAGATATACACATTAAAGGGAAAAATGATCCTTTCCATACTCCTTTGTTGGCTTGAGGCTCTCCCCTGCAGGAACTCCAGGAACTCCTGGTGCCGCCTGGGCCGATGGATTGGACGCCCCAGCCCCTCCGTTCCTGCCCAGCCCCTGGGGCCGTGTCGAGTGGTGGCACTGCCAGCCCCTGCAGGTGAGGGGGAAAGGGCCTTTGCAGGTGTTGGGGATCACATTTATAGCAGTTGACATTGCAGAAAAGGACGTGGGGTTTGGTATTCTTGAGCTAAGAAAGCTCCTTTGGATTGGTGAGCAGAACAAAGTGGATCCTTCAGAATTCCCATGTGTGTTTGTGTCTCAGCCTGTGTTATGATTCAGGGCTGTCAGTTGTTG